AAAAACAAACCCGATTTTCTCTTTCAAAAATATGTTTTTAATGCAGTTCGGAGACTTCCAAGTGATTTTGCAGCAACTGGCTTTAACCAGTGCCTGCAAAATTTGTTACAAGGAATTACAGAGCCAGTCATCTGCGTAGGACTCCTGTGAGGGTATTTTTCTTATAGAAAGAAACCACTCAAAATGCCTTTTTTTTTTCTTTCTTTCTTTTTAAGGGCTTTACTGGAGGATATGGCACATGGATCTTGTTCAGTCTGCAGTCCTGTATAGCGTAATGACCCTCATCAGTACCTATCTAGTAGCTTTTGCCTATAAGAATGTCAAGTTTGTTCTCAAACACAAGTAAGTTTGGTGGCTATTTCAAGTACAATTTATTGTTAAATAAATAGTGGAAGGTGTCCCTGCTGATGGCAGGGGGGGTGGAACTAGGTGATCTTTAAGGTCCCTTCCAAGCCAGACCATTCTATGGTTAAATAATTTAACAAAACCAGCATTTACACCTTTTTTCTTTTAATGAATAAGAATGTCTGAAATGTTACTCCAAAAACTGTTTTACATAGAAGTACCTCCTAATTGGTTTCTGTCATCTCTCTTGTAATTATTGTCAGCTCAGGGTATGATGAAACAGCAAAACTACCTTCATTCTCAGTGGGTATTGCCAAAAACTATCTTTGACACATACTTTTAGTAACTTATTATTTGTCCCTTCAACTTGACCAAACTGTTCAGTGTCTTGGCAAGGTATCATTCTTCACTCTAAATACAACTTTGTATAATGCCAGGCTTGGGTTTTCATTTTTATTTTCCAACTTTAACATCGATGATGTTTCTTACAGAGTGGCACAGAAAAGAGAAGATGCTGTTTCCAAAGAAGTTACTCGCAAGCTGTCTGAGGCAGACAACAGGAAGATGTCTCGTAAAGAGAAGGATGAAAGGTAATTCTCTTTCTTCTTTCTCTCCCTTGGTGTAATACTGGTTGGTATCTTTAAGGCTCTGTGTAGGATATTAGGGACTGTTGCTTGGCCACTGCTTTTTTTTTCTATATTCTGGTAAGTAGGTGCTGTACTGTCAGCTCTTTATTCACCTGTAAAGCATTTTTGAGGCAAGTTATCAATGAAAGGTCTCAAACATGGAAAACTTTATCAATAAGGTCCTGTCAGGCAACCTCTCAGTCCTTGAGCTGCAGAACAAAACAACTTATTGTTGTGCATAGTGTATGCAGGGTTTTGTCTTTAATTAATGAGTTGTCTGGTAGTTCTTGCTGCGCTCTGTTTCTTAGAAGCTGGCTATAACAAGAGCAGCAGTGTGTGGTTTACTCCACTCAGGGTGTTAGTTACTTCATAAGGGTGAGTGTGCCAGGATATACATTGATCTAAATATGCCTGAAATAATATCTCTACTCATTCCTAGAATTCTGTGGAAGAAAAACGAAGTTGCAGATTATGAAGCAACAACTTTTTCCATCTTCTACAACAATACTCTCTTTCTGGTCTTGGTCATCATTGCTTCATTTTTTGTGCTGAAGAACTTCAACCCCACCGTGTATCCTTTTATCACCACACCTGAAACAAGCAGAGTCCTATTCCTGCCTGTCATTAGGAGCTATATTTGTCATGAGTCCTTGTAATACCTCAGCTTAGAAACACTTTAATATACAAATAGGGAATAAAAGAAACCATCTACCACTCATGTAAAAGTTTAACATCTGACACAAGATGTTTTAAGGATATCACCTGGACAATATACAGAAATTCTTGTGGCTTTGCCATTTCAGTTGTAATTGTGGAATGAGGAGGCAGCTCGTGTTCTTACAGAAACACTGTCTCACTGTTAGTTGCCAGGTACTCTTACGTTACAGGGTTGTTGAGTTTCAGTAACTTCACAAGTAAAATCTTTCGTTACTTCAGTAAATAATACTTGCCAATCAGGGCCAGTTGTGCTAATTAAAGATCTGCAGTATTTAGCCCTATTTATAAACATTTTTAAAAGAACAGGCTAAACTTTATGGGTGTCTGAATTTTGAAGTTAAGTTCATTTCAGCACCCTGCTAACAGCCTTGATTATAAGCCATATTTCACATTTTGATGTTGCAGTTTTAAAACTCCTACACAGAAAGACCATTTCAATTCCTTGTTTTTCACAGAACTTCTACTAAATGCTCTGCACCAAATAAGTGGTGTCTCTTCCAGTATATGCCCTTAACCTTTTTCCTACAGGAACTATATTCTTTCTATAAGTGCTTCATCTGGACTGATTGCTCTGCTATCTACAGGATCCAAGTAGATGAAAAAAACCCTCCTGATTTATACCTGTGAGAGGGTTCAACTGCCATACAAAAGTTTAAGGGTGGAATAGGAATACATTTTTTTATAGTGTGGCTGCTTCAGGGTATGGGGGGGAGGGTTTGAATCCAAAATTATTGAAGTGTATTAACTTTTGGTATCTTTACATGGTATGATTCAATAACTGAATTAATTCTTTTTACTTAGCAATGAAAGGAAATGGTGTGTGAGCAGTTACCAGGTGTAACCTTTCTGGGGCACTACTACAAACTGTTGTAAGACAAGTACACCGTGAGGGGCTGCTACACAGCGGCACAAACGCTTGTACTTAAAACCTGTAACAGAATTCCCTCTAAGTTTGGTGACTGGTGTAAGAGCCAAACTCACTGATCCTAAAAAGTGACAATCTCATTGTAACTTGAAGAGTTTTAATAAAAAGGAGGCTTTTTTGTCATTTAATTCCTTGTATTTCCATTCTTAATTTTATTTTTGTTAAATGGGTATTTTCATGGGCAGGCAGCGTATGGAGGTTTATCAACACTTTCTGCTTCCAGAAGAGAGGAGTCTTCTACCAGCCAGCATCTGTGTTCTTTTCATTGGAAATACTCCTCATTTTTATGTAACTTAGAGTGAGGATAAAACCTAAACTGAGTCTCCTAGGAAAATACTTCTGAAGTGGTTTGGATATATTTTTTCATTCATCTCTAAAGTTGTAAATACAAAAAAAAACCCCAAACCTGCCAGTTTAACAAAAAAAACCCCCCAAAACAAAAACCAAAACCCACTTTAAAATGCTTTAGCTGGCTTTTTATAATGGGTTTATCAGACAATCCTGCTTTTTTCATGCTACAAGTAAAGCAGCTGGTATGGTAAATACTAAACTCTGCTATTAATGGAATCATTTATACAACTTACAGCTATTGCCAATATGGACTTAGAATCCTAAACAGGGAAGAAAGAGAAAGCTTATAAGTGGCTGATGTTTCCCTGTGGAACAATAACATACCCATTTCCAAGGTAAACCATTGCTGTAACAAAATCAGTCTCGCTGTTAGCAACAGGTCTCCAAATAGCCAGTTAGATGCACAAAATGCTTTTATTGTGTCCAAGCAGAAGGCAAAGTCAGACTGCAGTTCTGGCTCTACAGCAGCTAAGTTCATGTACACAGACCAGAGCTCGGTGGATTAAATACAGGAGAAGACAACTCAAAAGTGTTGGTACCTGTTCACGTGGCTCACGTGAGCGCTGCACAGATAGCCTGGAGTTAGGGGAGGGGATAGAATACGAGGGACCTACAAATCCTGTACACAGCTCTTCCCCCAGGAAATATGTGCCCAAAACACACCATTCCCTACGAGTGAGAAATACCAACCGAACTCACGGGTGTGTTGTACAAAGCAAAACTCACAGTCAAACAGGACATCGTTCTCGAGATGGGTAAATTAAATATCCGAAGTGCTGACTATCAACTCCTGTAGAGGGATGGAATTAAAAAAACCTACCAAAAAAAACAAACAAAAACCCCCTACCTGTTGAAAATGCATCTTAAAAATCCTCCACGCCTGATTCCAGAGCGAGTCAAAGCAAACGTGACCTTCCACCACAGTACGTACCTGATTGTTTCTGGTATTTTTCAGCAGCTATGTGTTATATATTATAAATACCTATATCCTTAAAAGCTCATCAATATTGAAATTTGCGATAGCTATGTCTACAGGCAGGCAGAAGTAGAGGCAGGTTCCTAGAGATGCCAACCCCAATATTTTACCATGGCTTTTTTCTCAGTTTAAGGTTTATGTAGAATTAGAATTTTGCAAAGAGCTGTTATTTTTATTGACCTGACATGCATGTTTGGGTTTCCTAACTGTGCTCTTCTGGCTCGTACTTCCCAGGAGCACTCCACAGCTGAAATAATTGTCTAGTTAGGAGCTGAGCTATCTAATCTCTAACTAATTCTCTGTCTTACATCCTTTATTCAACTACAAACAAAATCTAAAGCTTAGATTCAGCATAAGAAAAAGAAAACGGAAAATCTGAGCTTGCCCCTTCTATCTGTTAACCTGAAGAAACTTTATAGTTGCGATTTCCCAAACGTGGTTTTATTAAAACCTTAAGTTGTATCTGGCTTTTTCTTCATTGAAAAAATAGATCTGTACATCCTTCTTTAATTACCAAGTACCTGAAAGGTTATAAATTCTTTTTTTGCTTTACACGTGTTTTTTTTTTCACAGCACAAGCATGAGGTGCTAAGGGTAAAGTCAAAAATCAATGAATTCAGTCGAAGGTAAGAAAATACAAGATTATTCTCGGTCAGAGGAGAGATCAACTGTGCTTTTACATTTCACTGCAGGTTGGTAGCGACAGCACGCGTCTCGAAGGATCCAGTGCCAGCAGACACCGAGCAGCAAGCTGCTGAATGACTCGCCTGACCGGATATTAATTCGGGGCTGTACTTCTGCACAGAGCACTCTGGAAACCATGCGGTCCAGGGAATTCATGCATTGCATTATGATCTGTAGTCCTTCTTGCTGTAGGGCTTATTTCCCAGAATATTATCTATTTCGTTTACAATATGGGATGTCATCTTTGGAAGGACCTAGGGAGAGAAGAAAACTGAGGGTTAATAAAAAAAAAACCAAAAGGTTTTTTCCAAATTTACATCTGGATTTTATCAATTAATGTTTCCTCTGGTTTTTTTTGTGTGACATAAATAAACATTCATCTAATAACCATTCTCTCTTAAAGGAAAAAAAAACTACTGTAGTGTCTTTATCCTGTGAGAGAATCACAAAAGTGCTCCTAAACTTTCTATGCATGATCCACCTTGTGCTGGTGGCAAGAACATCAGAGGAAGCTCTTTCCTGTGAAAAGCAACAGGGAATAATTAAGGTGGGTACAAGTGACGTGTGCCCTGCGGGAGACAGCGCAGAATATATCACAGTGTGTCCTGGAATCAGGCCACTTGCTCTTTCAGATGTATTAAACCTGCTGATGCCACCCTCGTGTTGCTGGGTACGCCTGGAACTACCACAAATGGTTGTAAGTTATGGTGATGCAACCACGGCTTCGCTTAATTCGTGTGCATAACTAGTACTGGAAGGTGCCTGAAATCAGATACCAACTATTAAAACTCCATTTAAAGAGAAGGAAAGTGCTAGTCTCAGGGTAGGCTGGTGTTACCCCACCTAACCCTCTACCTCCACTGAGATGCCACCACCACCACCTGCACTTACCTGTATGGCTCCAAGGTTCTCGATCAGCTGCTCGGGGTTGGAAGATCCCAGAAGGACAGAGCTCACCCCCTCGTTTCTCAAGCACCATGCTGGGAATAAAGTCACAAGATGATCAGGAACATGGGCTTAATGACACGGCATTACTCCAGACCCTAATGTTTGTCAGAACTTCTATCTGAAAAATGACAACGTTCCCATGTCCCCGTCCCGTCACCTACCGACGGCCAGCTGAGGCAGGGTGCACCCCAGGCGCTCGGCGATGGGCGACAGGTCCTTCAGCTTCACCTGCTGCTTCCTGCCTTCCTCGCTTACGATTTTCTCTTTCAGCCACTGGTAGCACTGGGGGTGAGGGTGGGTGACATGGCAATCGATGGTTAGTGCTCAATAAAGGCAATTAGAAACAGCTCTGAAAAAGTCACATCCAGCCTAGGAGGTCACCGAGGCTGAATAACACAATGCTCTGCTGCCCAAAGTGTTAAAAAACAGGGTGTCTCCTGTGAGAACCCACCTCTGGGTCTCTCTGGCTTTATGCAACTGATGGATTCGGTCTGGAACCTGGAACCTCCTCAGTTTTATTTTTGGACCACTGGATCCCATCACAGAGTGGAAAAAGGTGAAATATTGCTCAACTTGAGAAGATTTTGCATCCCACCCGCCCCAAAAAAAAAAATAATTGACAACATCTCATCTTGTCCAAGCTTTACTATTGCTGGTCAAGATGATATTAATTAAATAAAGCTGAGATTTCAGTTCTCCCAGCTCCAGACTGGAAACTTGATTCTGCTTCACTCTCATCAATTTCATTTGGATCCCACTTTTCAATGCTCCCTCCTTAGCTAGCTTTTACCAAATATTAATATATTTTATTTTGGCAAAAAAATGACAAATGCAATGAAACACTACATTTGGAAATGCTGCTCCTTGTAAGCAAGTCAGGCTGCATCTTTCCTTTAAAAAGCACCAAGCTGAGCAAAAACCAGCACGAGGACGTATGGCAGCCTGCTGGCACTTGTCAGGTCGTGTTGGCTTTTACCCATCAGCTGGTACAGAGGTTCAAATACCATTTTGGTTGTGTTTTCCCCCAAATTTGTGACATTTTAATGCTCTGCTGTTTTTCAAACCGTTAAATAACGTGCCTGCCACAGGCATGATAGAGAAGGAGACCCCATAACTCCCCATAAGAATAAAATCAGGATAATCATGGGAGAAACCAAGCGCTGTGGTGACACCACGATGCTGAACCCATCAGAGGGCTGCTGCCCAGCCCAGCAAAGAGCGGGGACACAGAGGACCCCGGGGTCTCAGGGGGAGCTGAAAAACGTGAGTGCCTTTGTAACCCAGATTCTCCTGCACTTTGGAGTTTGGTTGCCAGAGAAACCGAGCTGATCTCTCAATCCAGCAGCGCACACGCCAGCCTGCTCACCAGGGACCCGGCTTCCCTTTGTTATTTCCCTGCCCTCACTTTTATCAAACGTGCAACAAAAAAACCAACAACAACAAAAACAAAAAAAACCCAAAAAACCCCACAAAAACCCTCCCAAAACCACACCTTTAGTGCAGCCCTTGAGCTTTCAGGGACCCCGTTGCCGTATTTCCCTGAGATGATCCCACAGGCTAGTGGAGACCACGTCATTGCTCCGACCCCTGCAGAGAAAAGAGAGGAGGAGAGTTTAGGGGACTGGGAGAAATCAGAGTTGTATCAAAAATAGGTCTTTGAGTTTGTCCTGGTTTTTCTAGGATAGAGATAATTTTCTTCTCAGTAGCTGGAGTAGCTGTGGTTTGGTTTCAGGGTGGGATTTGTTATCAGAAGAACGCAGATCAGGTACAAGGACATTGTTTGTGGGTGCAAAGGACTGGGAGGGGGGGAGCGCAGTAATTAGCAAAGCCCAGAGCTGGCATGTGGCTCTGCCAGTGAGATATTCCATCTCCTGTCCCCTCATGGGCAGTGTATTAACTCCAACTCACCGATTTTGTGATATAATTCCGGCAGCTGAACCTCCACTTTCTCTCTTTGGAAAAGGTGATATTCAGCTTGTTCACACACGGGGGGGATCATGTTAAACTGCCTGGCGACAGAGTAGGCTTCCTGGTGAAGAGAAATCAGGAGATGAAATACTTCATTAAATAAAAGCATCTTGCAGGACATAACCTAGGAGCCAACGCTCACAGCATCCCAGAATGGCCTGGACTGGAAAAGCCCATCAAGCTCATCAAGTCCGACCATGAACTCAACACTGACAAGTCCCTGACTAACCCATGTCCCTCAGAACTATGTCTCCTTGTGTTCAGGTACCAATGAACTTGAGTTTTGCAAGGCCATGCTCAGCAACAAGCCCAACACCTTCCCAGCAGAGATTCTGGGTGCTGAGCTCATTTATCATGTTTTGACCCCACTGCAAGAAGCAGGGACCAGCAGGATGCTCCTGGCATCTCAGAATCATTGAATCCCAGGATGGTTTAGGTTAGAAGGGAACTTCCAGGCCATCTAGTCCATCCCTCTGCAGTGAGTGAGGACATCTCCAACCAGAGCAGGTTGCTCAGACCCCATCCAACCTGACCTTGAGTGTTTCCAGGGATGGGGCATCTCCCACCTCTCTGGGCCACAACATCAAATCAGTCATGGACATGGAACGGATGCTTTACCAAAAGTCTTGAAGTCAACCAAATAAAACAACCCCCAATTAAATGAGCCAAGACACCCAAACCACTAGATCAGCCCATCTTCTCCTAATTGACACCCGGCTCATTCCAGAACAGGTTTTTAAATTATTCTAGGTGAAAAGACGCTGGATGGAGTAAAACACAAACATCCCCAACCCAGACACACGCTTGAGGTTCAGCTCCCAGCGTGACCTTCAGCAGACCCTGCAGCCTGGAAACAGAATTACCAAGTGTCAACACTGCTAAAAATGAGCTTTACCATGATCTCCATAGCGCTCCAGCGCGACGTTCCCCAGTACATGGCCATGCCTTGATTTATTACGTGTGTCATCGCGCGGACGATTTCTAAAGGAGGAGAAAAAAAAGAAAAAATTTTGAGAACTGCAGAGAGGACAATTTTTCAGCAGTGAATCCTCCCAAGGACACTTATAAATGCCAAGTACACTGACAAGCCTGAGCAGCTTTGCATCCAGCACTACTTCTGCTGTGTGCTCTTGCTCAAGCGTGGATGAAAAAGCGTTGACAGTGCAAATTTAAAGACTTCTCACCTGCAGTTGTTTAAAAACTGCTTTTACCAACTGGCTATTGCGTACCACTGCCTTAGCACACACAGAATCACACAGAACCACCTCGACTGGAAAAGCCCTTTAAGCTCATCGAGTCCAACCATGAACCCAACACTGACAAGTCCCTGACTAACCCATGTCCCTCAGCACTGTGTCTACACGACTCTTCAGTCCCTCCAGGGATGGGGTGTATGAGAAATATAAATCCCTCCTGGGATGAGGAATATGAGAAATGGGATAATATTTCTTCTAAAATTTAACACAAGAGGGCAGCACAGTCGAAAAAGAAACTAAAAGGTAAATTAGATTTATTTTTAAATTTGTTTTCTAAAAGCATATATTTCATCCTGCTTCCTTTCATCAGGAATATGAGGATGCTGGGGATAAAACTGCAAAACTGGATGATGGAACTCGAGCACCCATGGGAGGAGCAGGTGGCATCTCCACAAAACCCATCGCAGCTCCTTTGTGTGACGGTCCCACCATCCCTGTGTTCCTTTGGGAAGATGGAAGCCTTCCAAGCTACACGTGCTGGGACAGGATCTTTAATTTCCATCCATCAGACCTCTGCTGAGAGCAGCGCTGCCTTCTTGTCAGGAGGAAAAAAAACACATCATAAACTTTAGTTTGCAAGAAAAGGAGAAAAAATTGTCCATCCTTCATGGTTGCCCAGGAGGTTACAGAGCCTGGTATGATGCTTTGCTAATGTCACCACTCACGGTGCCACATGAGGCACCTCGTAGTCAGTGGGTGCTGCCACATCTTGTTGTGCTTGTCCCTTGGGAAAGGGGCAAGGAACCCACTGGCTGCACCGACACCATGAAGTTCTGACCCAGCAAACCCCAATGAAACCACCCTGGTTGGACGTGGGGCTGTGTGGAGAAGCCTGGTGTGGTTATCACATCCCTTGGCGTGTCTGCTGACACTTGGACAACAGCTCTGGGCATTGCTGTCACAAGATCAAGAGCCTTTTGTATCGTAAGGATTCTCATCCTATTTATGGAAAGAGAAAAAAAAAACCCCAGGAGCCTGGCAGAGAGGAGCTGGCGCTGCCAATCTCGACGTTATTGGGAGATCTCTTCTGCAGGCACTGACAAGCAGCTGAAGATGATGAAGTCACCACTTATAACCTCACAGGGCTGTACCAGAGACACCCCTGCCTCCTGCACTGGGCTTCTGCCTTCCCACTGAAAAGGGAGATTTCCTCTCCAGGGAAACGTTGGATTGAGGGTTCCCCCCCCCTCAATGAACAGTAGAATTCAAATGCCAGATTTTTTCCTCTTTTTTTTTTTCTTTTTTTTTCCCATTTATTTTCCCCCCCCCCCCCCTTTATTTTCCTTTTTCCCCCCCTCTTTATTTCCCCTTTTTCCCTTTTTTCCCCTTTTCCCCTTTTCTCCCCTTTATTTTCCTTTTTTTTTTTCCTTTTTTTTTTTTTTTTTTTTCAGCCAAACCCATACTTTTCTCTATTTCTAGGCATTTTATTTTCAGGTATGTACTAACTAATCCAACCAAATGCCTTGTTATCAAGCAGCTCCCCTACTACCCACAGGTGTGCTGCGTGTGACAGCAGCTGCCCAGCAATCCTTCCATCCCTCCCTCCATCCCC